AGGACTCTCCATTTACATGCACAAATTGGAGTCTATTAGATAGATATGATACAAACCACTGCAGTGCAGTACCTGTAATACCTACAGCATGTTCTAATCGCTCTAATAGGATATTATGGTCGACAGTATCGAATGCTGCACTGAGGTCTAGCAGGACAAGCACAGAGATGGACTGCAACTCTGTGCAATCCAATTCAATTAAGACAGGGAGAAGAGAGATCATCCAGACCAGGTTAATCCAAAACATGTCGGCCAAATGTATGATCAATTAAATTTTCATTAAAAAATAAATAAAAAACAAAACAGCAAAACATTTCAGTCACAAACAATTTGATATTTAAAGTCCATCAGGCATTTTCAGAAGAATCAGAGGCTACAGATTTAATTAATCCTCTCAAAGTGGTGTCTGTCCTGTATACTTTGTTTAAGGTCTTCCTATAAAACACCTAATTTTAACTACATAAAAAAGGAATAGCAAGCACAAAAACAAGAACAAAAAACAAAACATGGAAAAGCAAAGACATGACAGAGAACACTTTGTGAGAAATGAGAATCTGAGTCATAACAAAAATTTGTCTAACATCTCCGCAGCAAATCAAGTTCCTGTTCTTCTGGAGTCCTAGTTCGTCTTTTACAGTAATCACATGACATTTTTGTAACATGTTACTGTGGTAAGTAATTACAATAATTACATTACAGCTACAACTATGTCATTACTTGTGTTAATAAAGGTTCTTCAGTTACCTGCATGCCAGGCAGACATAAAGAAAAAAAATCAAACAAATATATTTTTTTCCTGTGCAATTGCTCTATAGGGAACCAATTTCAGTTAATGTGCTGTGAAGAGGATAACGCTGGTACAGTGATACAGCTTTTCAGCAGAGGACATTTGGGCATTAAATGATTTTTATTGAACTAAAGTAAAGGAATGCAACATTAACATCCGTGAGAGTTATTAGCATAATGCTACTGCAGGAAACCTATTCAGTTTGCCAGTTGTCTTACTTGTGTATTAATTGTATAATAATCAAGTTTCATATCAATGCAGCCTGGACTATCAGAGTAGGTATACTGCATGTTATTTAAAGCATACAAATTATAAATAGTTATAACAATATAATGACAAAAGAACAAATAATAAACAGTTGTTACAGTTCAAATCAAAATGATGAATACAATTCATTCACACAATTCAGAGAAATTGTTTGTCCTGGCAATCGGGATAAAGATTTAACATTCTCTGGATGCATTCAATTTGTTTCAAATGTTCAGTTTATTCGACCTTTTAAAAAACACACCACGTGGTTAATGTTCCTGTCAGCATTAAGACAGCCATTTGGGACAGCAGTACAGGCTATACAGTATTAAATAATAATACTAATAATAATAATAATTAATGGTGATAAATAGTTTTCTGACAACATGGAAACCTACTTGTGTAATGCTTTAGCACAGTGGTTGTCAAACTTTTTCTGACATGCCCCACTGTACAAAGGAAAAATGAAATGAATGAAATTAAATAATTTAAAAAAAGTTTAGTGTCCACATCAAGGAGTTTGTAATTAGTTAAGTAATTAATTACTCATTAACAAATCAAAAAGGTACAAGATGAATTTTAGTTCAAAGTCAGCATTAACTTCCTAAGACCCGAACTCTTCCACGACATGCATTTTTAATTTCTCTTTGATATTTGGGCTGATTGGGACCCGATGAATGTAAAAACAAAGAATTACCAGATATTTTTTTTAACCTGATTTTTATTTCTAAGAAAAATGAAAGCCACATATGAGGATATTTGTTTCAAATTTTGATAGAACAGTAGCAGTATAATGTCCTCATAAGTGGATATCAGCCCCTTGTAGAGCAAAATTGAGTATTTTGGTCTAAATATCCCAAAATGTGATGTCCACATATGTGGACGCCAGGTCCTAGGAGGTTAAAAGCCGACTTTTACAGAGAAATTAACTAGGCTTTACAAAAACAAACAAAAAAACCCTCTTTTTTTTCCATGATGCTTCAGTGGGGCCATGTTCCACAGCTTGAGAACCACTGTTATCATGTATGGTGCATTGATATATTTTAAAAAATGAAAACATTTTTAATGATCTTACTTTCTGAAAAGGTTTAAAACCATAAAGTGTCATGTCTTCATTGTTAGGTTTAAAGGAAAGAAAAAAAATCTGATGAATAATATATATGTATGTAGAGTTAAAATACACATGTAAGCGTTGCTAATGCTAACAAGGATGAAAAATGTATGTAACTAAATTTACAATATTCAGCAGTATGCAGGAAAAAGGCAAATAATATCTTTACATCCATTATTAAATCTAAAAACAGATTTAGCAACAAGATCCAGACAAGATGAGTCAGCAGTTTCTATCCTAAAATATAAATAGTATAAAACAACACGCTGCTGTGGCCCCCTTCAAGCTTGTTTGTAAACAGCAGTTAAATATGCGAATTAACCTTTTACAAAAGTGAAGCAGCTTAATACAAAAACTTTAGGCTGTACCAGAATACACTTTTACAGTATAAAAAGAGGTATTGTTTTGTAGCAATTATTAATAGCTGCAGTTTGCTTGACTATTTAAAACTGTAAAAAGTTTCATACTGAAACATCCACATAAGTACCATGATGACCAGTGAGACAATAGAAACTGTGAATCAACACTAGAATATTAAACCCCCCCCCCCCAGAATTTAATGATAATAATTTAGAATATGCACTCAACACTTGGAAAACATGGAATATGATTAAAATTTTTCTTTCAACTTGACATCACGCTAACATCCTCACACAATACGCCCACCTTCTGATCTATCACATAATATTTCAGTCTATGACAAATCTGGTGGGAAAAAAAATCTAATCATAAAACAATTAATGTTTGTTAATTAGCAGTAAATTGAATAAAGCCATGTATGAAGTGTGACTTTATAGACTGGTCACTGCTCTCCACCTACAGCAGCTGGAGTTACAAATCGTTAACAAAGCTTGTTTTGCCTGAGTGGACATTTTAGAAAACCTTTCTCATTATGTATGATACTCAACATAGTACACTGCTCAAAAAGGAACACTTGATTATCACCGTATATCACAAACCAGTTTTAGCACCTAATCCACATAACACTGGACCACTATGGCCCCTCCAGCAGGTGATGGGTTCACTGGAGTAACTGGGGTCAGCCAGGACCCATGAATAATGGGTGTTTCCAAAAATAGCTCCTTGACTAAGTTTGGCCTTATGAAGGGGCCCTGGTAACCAAGATTTTGTCAAGTAACTTCTCATCATCGAACTCTTTTGAATCACACTTGGTCTGGCCATTTACCCATGACCAATTTACCTAGGGAGACCCTACCAGGGACAAACTGTCCCCGACAACATAGCTCCTGGGATCAGAAGGGCACGCAAACCCCTTTACCGCGATAAGGTGGTGATTTATGAAGGGGGATGTAGGGAATACTTCTTTCCTACACCTGAACAGACCTTTGCTTTTACTTCTGTATCAATTACCCTATGGTTACTCTTGCTGATCAGTCGCTGTTTTTTATTATTCCTCACACTGCACATTATGACAAAGAGCGAAAATAGGAAGATAACATCTAACTAATAACTTATTACGTGTGTGAATTCTATAAAATCATAAATAGCTTGTTTAATTTTCTCAAACTTTTCTTTCCTGGTTGGTTGACAACCAATAATTCAACACAGTAACAAAACCTCACTAAGATTTTTTTATTCAAATTTCTTTATATGTTGCTTTATGTTAGATTGTCCAAGCAAAACATCTGCCATGCGCTAACAAGGGTGGGGCTCTATTTTTCAAGTGTTATGTACTATATGGTAATCAGACGGTGTGCTTCACTTGACTGTTTGTGCCGTCTGAACCTACTGTCTGTGTGAGGCTCTGTGGTGTACTGATAACACTGATAACACTGTTTTAAACAGAAGCCCTGAGGGTTGAAATCCTCAGGAGCTTAACGGCTTGTGTTATCAGGAGATGTAAATGTCACAGAAAAACTGCCATTCATATTAGCCAGAGCTGGTATGTCAAGGTAGAACCTAAATGCCATGGCAGCACAAGAAAAAGCAATAAAGAAACTTCATTAAAAACTAAGACATGATAAACAAAAGTGGGGCCGAGAGATAAACGGACACCAAGTACCTCCACCTGTTCTTCATCTGTTCATTTAGCAGCTGACTCTAGAATGGCATGTTGGTCGAGCATTCAGTCCAGATATTGCTCATCCTTTGCTTCCACAGCTGTCACAGAGATTCCTGAAGTAAACAATTTAAGAGAATTTGTTTAAAATGGCATGTAATTTCATCTGAACATGCAAAGACTTTCAGTGTATCTGCATATTAAAAAAAAAACCTCCTACAATATTCAATGCACACATTAATAATTAAAAAGATTTACTTTTGAAGAAGGGCAGATTTAATAAAATTACTTGTACAAAACTAAAACTACAAATATATCTGCAATAACTGCATAACATAATTTTACATTAAAGTAAATAGCAGTAAAATATTTGGAAAGAGAAATTTAATTTTGACTGGAACAAAAATAAAAAAAACAAAACAACAATGGCACATTTCAATGAATTAACTGTTACTGACCTCCATCTGATGTTGTTCTTGTTGTGCTGCACTGTTACCAGCTGGTTCATTTGTTGGGACACGCTGCCAAAAAAGTGTAAACCTACGCCTGGAATTTTTGGGACAATAATTCAAAATGTTCAGTTTCCCCTCCAACACCACCGCAATGGTTTGAAATAAAACAAACAAGTGCATGAATAACCCGACGTCAAAAGACAATTACCCAAATATGCAAAACAAAGACAAATGGCAAACGAGGAGCTTGTCCAAAGAAGTGCATCATGTATTGTCTGGAAACACTTTTGATTTTAGAGCGATGCACTAATTTAGGTGCATCACCTGAGACAGTACAATACAACTTTTTTTAATTAAAAAAAACAAACCACTCAATACTCATTAAATAATCATATTCTCCATATTGATTGAAATCATTGAGATTAACATTTTACGAGACTAAATTCACTGTGTTTTAAAGAGGATATGTACTTCTCAGATATCCTTTTTTTATGTTTCCATCCTTTTCCCTTCTACTATTTTGGTACCAGATTTACTTAGTTTCATCTGTGGAAAAAACATTGTTCACAAGCTTGGTCTTCCTTTTCCCTCT